CCATAGTCTACTTGTCGTAGGGTTCTTACCAATTGAACTTTGCTATTCGTACACTGATTTCTGATACACTATTTGGCACTTGAATTGTTGTCATGTGTCAACTGGATGGGAAAACTATTTGAAATTTAAACTGTCCAGTAGGGTAATGTCACGTGACAAAGTGTAAACTAAAGTGTATACACCATAGTGTACATGTCGCAAGGTTCTTACTGATTGAACTTTGCTATTTGTACACTGATTTTTGACACGTTGTTTGACACTTGCAATGTCATCTAGTGTCAATTGGACGGGAAAATTGTTTCAAATTCAAACTGTCCAACATGTTAATGTCACGTGGCAAGGTGTAGACTAAAGTGCACACAATAGTGTACAGGTCGCTAGGTTCTTACCGATTGAACTTTCCTATTTATACACCAATTTTTGGCAGGTTGTTTGAGACTTGCATTGTTGTCAAGTGTCAATTGAATGTGAAAATTGTTTAAAATTTAAACTCTCCAATTGGGCAATGTCACGTGGAAAAGTTTAAACTAAAGTGTACACCAAAGTGTACATGTAGCAAGGTTCCTATAGATTGAACTTTGCTATTTGTACACTGATTTTTGACATATTGTTTGACACTTGCATTGTGCTCAAGTCTCAATTAGATGGGAAAACTTTTTGAAATTTAAACTGTCCAATAGGGCACGTGGTAAAGTGTAAACTAAAGTGTACACCATAATGTACATGTAGCAAGGTTCTTACCGATTAAACTTTGCTATATGTACACTTATTTTTTACACGTCGTTTGACACTTGCAATGTTGAAAAGTGTCAATTGGACGGGAAAACTGTTTGAAATTTAAACTGTCCAACAGGGTAATGTCACGTAGCAAAAGGTAAACTAAAGTGTACACCATTGTGTACATGTAGCAAGGTTCTTACCGATTTAACTTTGCGATTTGAGCACTGATTTTTGACATGTTTTTTGATACTTGCATTGTTGTCAAGTATCAATTGGATGGAAAAACTGTTTGTAATTTAAATTGTCCAATAGGGTAATGACACGTGGCAAAGTGAAAAGTAAAGTGTATAGAATAGTGTACATGTAGCAAGGTTCTTACCGATTGAACTTTGCTATTTGTACACTAATTTTGGACACGTTGTTTCACACTTGTATTGTAGTCAAGTGTCAATTGGATTGGAAAACTATTTGAAATTTAAACTGTCCAACAGCGTAACGTCACGTTGCAAGGTGTAAACTAAAGTGTACACCATAGTGTACTTGTCACTAGGTTCTTACCAACTGAACTTTTCTACTTGTACACTGATTTTTGACACGTTGTTTGACACTTGCATTGTTGTCAAGTTTCAATTGGATGGGAAAGCTGTTTGAAATTTAAACTATCTAACAGGGTAATATCACATGGCAAAGTGTAAACTAAAGTGTACACCATAATGTGCATGTCGCAAGGCTCTTATCGATTGAACTTTTCTATTTGTACACCGATTTTTGACACATTGTTTGACATTTGTATTGTTGTCAAGTGTCAATTGTGTGGGAAAACTATTTGAAATTTAAACTGTCCAATCGGGCAATGTCACGTGACAAAGTGTAAACTAAAGTGTACACCATGGTGTACATGCAGAAAGATTCCTACCAATTGAACTTTTCTATTTGTACACTTATTTTTTACACGTTGTTTGACACTTACATTGTTGTCAAGTGTCAATTGGATGAGAAAAAATTTTGAAATTTAAACTGTCCAACAGGGCACGTGGCAAAGTTTAAACTAAAATGTACAACATAATGTACATGTAGCAAGGTTCTTACTGATTCAACTTTTCTATTTGTACCCTTATTTTTGACACGTTGTTTGACACTTGCATTGTTGTCAAGTGTCAATTGGATGGGAAAACTATTTGAAATTTAACTGTCAAACAGGGTAATGTCACGTGGCAAAGGGTAAAATGAAGTGTACACCATAGTGTACATGTAGCAAGATTCTTACCGATTGAACTTTGTTGTTTGTACACTGATTTTTGACATTTTTTTGACACTTGCAGAGTTGTCAAGTGTCAATTAGATAGGAAATCTATTTGAAATTTAAATTTTCCACTAGGGCAATGACACGAGGCAAAGTTTAAACTAAAGTGTACACAATAGTGTACACGTAAGATGGCTCTTACTGATTGAACTTTGCTATTTTTACACTGATTTTGGACACGTTGTTTCACACTTGCATTGTAGTCGAGCGTCAATTGGATGGGAAAACTGTTTGAAATTTAAACTGTCCAATGGTGTAATGTCACGTGGCAAAGTGTACACCATAGTGTAGATATCACGAATTGAACTTTGCTATTTGCACACTGGTTTTGACACATTGTTTGACACTTGCTTTGTAGTCAAGTCTCAATTGGATGGAAAAACTGCTTGAAATTTAAACTGTCCAATAGAATAATGTCACGTGGCAAAGTGTTAACTAAGTGTACACCATAGTGCACATTTATCAAGGTCCTCACTGATCGAACTTTGCTATTTGTATACTGATTAGTGACACATTGTTTCACACTTTCATTATAGTCAACTGTCAATCAGATGGAAAAATTGTTTGAAATTTAAACTATCAAACTGTGTAATGTCATGTGGCCAAGTGTAAACTAAAGTGTACAGCATAGTGCACATGTAGCGAGGTCCTTACCGATTGAACTTTGCTAGTTGTACACTGATTTTTAACACTTTTTTTTACACTTGCTTTGTAGTCAAGTGTCAATTGGATGGAAAAATTGTTTGACAATGTAATGTAACGTGACAAAGTGTAAACTAAAGTGTACACCAATGTGTACATGTAGTAAGGTCCTTACCGATTGAGCTTTGCTATTTGTACACTAATTTTTGACACGTTGTTAGATACTTACATTGTTTACAAGTGTCTATTGGATGGGAAAACTGTTTGAAGTTTGAACTGTCCAATAGGGTAATGTCACGTGGCATAGTGAAAACTAAAGTGTAAACCATAGTTTACATGTAGCAAGGTCCTTACCGATCAAACTTTGCTATTTGTACACTAATCTTCGACACATTGTTTGACACTTGCATTGTTGTCAAGTGTAAATTTGATGGGAAAACTATTTGAAATTTAAACTGTCCAACAGGGTAATTTCACGTTGCAAAGTGTAAACTAAAGTGTACACCATAGTGTACATGTAGCAAGGTTCCTACCGATTAAACTTTGCTATTTGTGCACTAATTTTCGACACGTTGTTTGACGCTTAAATTGTTGTCAAGTGTCGATTAGATGGGGAAATTGTTTGAAATTTAAACTGTCTAACAGGGTAATGTCAAGTGGCAAAGTGACAACTAAAGTGTACACCATAGTGTACATGTAACAATGTTCTTACCAATTGGACTTTGTTATTTGTGCATTGATTTTTGACACGTTGTTTGACATTCGCATTGTTGTCAAGTGTTGATTGGATGGGAAAACAGCTATTTGTACATAGATTTTTGACACGTTGTTTGACACTTAAATTGTTATCAAATGTCAATTGGATGGAAAAACTGTTTGATATTTAAACTGTGCAATAGGGTAATGTCATGTGGAAAAGTGTAAACAAAAGTGTACACCATAGTGTACATGTGGTAAAGTTACTACTGATTGAACTTTGCTATTTGTACGCTGATTTTTGACATGTTGTTTGGCACTTGCATTGTGATCTTGTGTCAATTAGATGGGAGAATTGTTTGAAATTTGAATTGTTCAACAGGGTAATGACAAGTTGCAAAGTGTAAACTAAAGTGTACACCATAGTGTACATGTAGCAAGGTTCTTACCAATTAGACTTTGCTATTTGTACACTGATGTTTGACACATTATTTGAGACTTGTATTATTGTCAAGTGTCGATTGGATGGGAAATTTTTTTGAAATTTAAACTGTCCAATAGGGTAATTGTAAAATCCCAAATTTTTACTTAGCATTAATTTATTTAATAGGAATGCAATGTTTAGTTAAGTCCTTATACAAGTTAATTGGTTATCTCTATAGTTAATTTGGATCTATGTGAATATCTTTATAGTTGAGGGACCAAAGTGAAAATAAGTTTCAGATTTTATACCTTTATTAAATAGGCCGAATAGTTAATTATTGAAGGAGTTAGAATTACCCTATCAATATTGGGCTCATTTTGAAACTCGTAATAAATGATGAATTATGGACTCAAGAAAAATTCAATTTGGATTCGTTAAACTTGAGTTATAGCCAATTAAGAAAACTACTTAGTTAATAATATTAGTTATTACTTCGTGCTAAATTACTATATCAATATTGGACTCCTTTGATAGATAATAATTAATTATATATATAAGGATTAAGAAAATGATATTTTGAATAAGTTGAATTAAGATGGAATCAATGGAAGAATCAAGGTATAAATGAAATTCTAATTTATTTAGTATGCAAACAGTTTGTTTCGGCCATTAGGAGATTATTAGTTATCCATTTAAGTTGTTTAACAAATATAATAAGGAAACTAAATTTATCCTAGTGTTTACGTGTGCAAAGGATAAAGTCTCTTTATTATAATAAATTATTGGTTACTTGTAATACTAATCTACTTTAATTAAGATAGAAATTATTATTCTTAATCATATAGGATTTGGATTATGATAAAGTCTTCTAATAATTATCGTATTAGAATAGTTAGGACTTTAATTAATTAAACTAGTTAAATTATTTCATTTGAAACACTCTCCCATTTATTTTGTTTTAATCGAAGACAAGAAATTAATTAGCTATTAATTAAGTTGTTTTATTAGAATAATAAATATATATATCTCATGCAATTTGGAGATACCATGACCCACGTAAAGGAGTCATACAATTTCAATGCCATTAAATCTTTTTCCTATTATAATTGTGGTTGATATGGAATTTATCTGAACCCAATAGTTATCCCCAAATCAGATAGAAGTCTAGTTGCCGAGGAGTGTATGGACGGAAATTTAGAATTCAAAACTTATCAAAATTCCACTTCCCACACCATGGTTTATTATAAATATAGCACTAAACCTCAAGCATTCAGTCATTAATTCATCATTCTTCTTCTGCACGTCTTTATTCTCTTCTCCTCTTTAAAATATTTCTCCATATTATTAAGCCTTTTTAAGGCCTTGGAATCGCAATAAAGAATCACGTTTTCAACAATTTTATTTTTCACGTTCATCTTCAAAAGGTGAGATGCTCAGTGCTATTAGTGGTTTGTCCACATTTTTTCAAATACGTTGTTATGTATGGATTTAATTACTTCAGTTCAGAGCTCCTTTGGGAGAAATCATGATACAGTTTAAGGCACAATTTAGCCTTCACGTTATTTGCAGCGCTTGCTTGAATTATCATTTGTCATGGTGTGATAATTCTCATGTTATGTTGGTAAGAGAATTTATGCATAATTTCACGTTTGATTTGAATGTGGAGTAGCAAGTATCTCATTGAGTATAATTCGTTATACTCATCCCTCTCTATTTAAAATTTTCAGGTAGAAATTAGTATGCTGGACGGCGGTGGATGGATGCATATTGGACCAATGGATCTCCATCATGAAGTACTTTAATTTTTAAAAACACTAGAATATTTATTAACAGTTGATTATTATTATTTTTAAATTTAGACTCAATTGTGAGTCACGTCATAACTTTCAATTAGTCCTATTTTTATTATTTGTTAGAACTACTTTTATTAATGTTTGATAAAAGATATGATTCCAAATTGTTCTGCATATGTTATTTAATTTAATTTACCTTTTGTTAAGGTTGTTCAATTTTTACTGAATTCCTCGTTATATTAAAATGTATTTGCCTCAAGCACTTTATTAATCAATTCACGTTTGGTAACGTTCCGGGTTGCTAAAGAATTCGGGGCGTTACAGTAATGTCATGTAGTAAAGTATAAACTAAAGTGTTCACCATAGTGTACATATCGCAATGCCCTTACCGATTGAACTTTCCTAGTTGTACACTGATTTTTGAGACGTTGTTTGACACTTGCATTGTTGTCAAGTATCAATTGGATGGAAAAAATGCTTGAAATTTAAATTGTCCAATTGGGTAATGTAATACCCCGAATTTCCTGTTATATATTTGGCCAATATGATTCATGCATTTCATGCTATTCACAATGCTACTTGCATTAGTTTTCTTAATTACTTTATCTTAAAATGGTGCATTCGATTATGGATATTTTAAGATTTTAGTCTTCAACTCCTAGACCTAGGTGTTGAATTTTGTATTGAGTTATGATAGAAAATTAGGTTAACTAAATGTTGGAGATTGGCTTGATAAGAAATGGAATATCGAAAAGGTCGGAAATCGATATCGACAAAAGTTCAAGCTTTCTATTCGGTTGATCGAGAACACCTTAAACCCTAGATAGGTAATTGACATATTTGGGACATGATACATAGAGGAACATGATCATGATGCGATAATATATGTCTCATATGACATTATAAATATCGAGGTGCGATT